AAGGCTAAATGTTGCTAACAACTCTTTCTGAGTGGGGTATGCGCACTTACGTTTTCATTTCAAAGGCGTCTGAGTAAATTATTTGTTGGTAACGCTTCACTATAAGGTTTGATTAGTTAATGTATTAGGCTAGCTAACATGAACTAACAGTGAGCAATACATTTACTGTATTTATTAATCTTTGTTAATCTGAGTTAATAAAAATACAGCTGTTCATTGTTTGTTCGTTACTTCACAGTGCTTTAACTAATGTTAACAAATACAACTTTTGATTTTAATAATGTATTAGTAAATGGTGAAATTAACATTAGCAAAGCTTAATAAATGCTGTAGAAGTGTAGTTGTTTATTAGTTCATGTTAACTAATGTTATCTAATCGAATCTTATTGTAAAATGTTACCGATTTGTTATACCCCGATTTAGACGTCTCGTGAGTTCAGTGTTGGACAGATCAGTTGTTTTAACCATTCATTAAAATGAATCGGTTCAAATGAGTCATTAGGTCGCGAATCGGACACGTCATTGGGGACATGCGCCCTGTCAATCACAATAACTGATCAAATAAGGCTTTAGCGGGACGAAATTTCACTTTGGCGACCGCCCAAAAAATTTAATGCAGGAAAAACCCTGCACAAGTCAGAATCAGATTATGGATATGTAGCATTCAAATATTTCATCCAGTTCCTTTTGCTTGAAGATCGGATTCATCACGGCGAGGCTGGTCATAGGTCTTTGCTAAGGATCTGTGGCGATGGCTGTCGCATCGACGAGGTCTTCAGGGGATTGTCTAGTTGACAGGGATGCGTTGTGGTCGTGTCTAGATGCAGGTCCACCATCTGATCTGGATACGGACCGAATACAGCTGTCTACGGTAACCTCGGGATAAACAGAGAGACTAATATTAGCGTAGATGTCATTCTTCTTACGAGGCAACAAGTACATCGGGTGTTATAGGAAGTGTTCCCGGTTCCGGTTGACCTAATTTTTGCGGATGTGAATTATAGAAATGTGATGTTATATGTGTATGCTAGGCCAAAGAGATGTGTTTTTAGTTTAGATTTGAACTGACAGAGTGTGTCTGCTTCCCGGACAATGGTAGGAAGATTATTCCAGAGTTTTGGTGCTAAATAGGAAAAGGATCTCCCGCCTGCTGTCGATTTAGATATTCTAGGTATTATCAACTGGCCAGAATTTTGAGATCGCAATAGACGTGAAGGACTATAATGCGTTAAGAGCTCGCTCAAGTACTGGGGAGCTAAACCATTTAGTGCTTTGTATGTAATTAGCAAGATTTTAAAATATATGTGATGTTTAATAGAGAGCCAATGCAGTGTTGACAGAACCGGGCTAATATGGTCATACTGCTTTTGTCATTGAGATGTCGTAATTTAGATATATTTTTAAAATGCGTTTTCACAGATGTTAGAAACATGACTTTCAAATAATAGATTGCCATCAAAGAGCACACACACACCCAGGTTCCTAACCGACGACGAAGACTTGACAGTGCATCCATCAAGTGTTAGACAGTATTCTAGGTTATTAGAGATTTTTGGTCCAATAATTAAAACCTGTTTTTTCAGAATTAAGTAGGAAATTACTCATTTTTATATCAACTATGCACACCGTTAATTTTATGAATTGGTATGTTTCGTCAGGGTGCGAATAAATATAGAGCTGTGTATCATCAGTGTAACAGTGAAAACTAACGGCATGCTTCCTAATGATATCTCTTAAAGGGTTAGTTCACCCAAAAATGAAAATGATGTCATTAATGACTCTCCCTCATGTCGTCCCAAGCCCGTAAGACCTCCGTTCATCTTCGGGACACAGTTTAAGATATTTTAGATTTAGTCCGAGAGCTTTCTGTCCCTCCCTTGAAAATGTATGTCCGGTATACTGTCCTTGTCCAGAAAGGAAATAAAGACATCATCAAAGTAGTCCATGTGACATCAGTGGGTTAGTTAGAGTGTGTTGAAGCATCGAAAATACATTTTGGTCCAAAAATATCTAAAACTAGGACTTTATTCAGCATTGTATTGTCTTCCGGTCTGTCATTAATGACTCACCTGGCATGAGGGTGAGTCATTAATGACATCATTTTCATTTTTGGGTGAACGAACCCTTTAAGGGTAGCATGTACGGTGTGTGTGTGTGTGTGTGTGTGTGTGTGTGTGTGTGTGTGTGTGTGTGTGTGTGTGAGGGTAATATGTACAGAGTGAACAGCAACGGTCCTAGCACTGAGCCTTGTGGGACTCCATACTGAACTTGTGATCGGTATGACATCTCTTCGTTTACTACTGCTAATTGAGACCAGTCAGATAAGTACGATTTAAATAATGCCAATGCGATTCCACTAATTCCAATATAATTTGAGTATATTCAAAAGAACGTTGTGGTCGATAGTATCAAATGCAGCACTAAGATCGAGTAACACTAATAGAGAGATACAACCACGATCGGATGATAAGAGCAAATCATTTGTAATTCTAATGACTCTCCTGACTGGAAATCCTCACAAATTTAATTTCTTTCTAAAAGGAACATAGTTGTGAAGATACCGCCTTTTCTAGTATTTTTGACAGAAAAGGAAGATTTGAGATTGGTCTGTAATTAACTTGTTCTCTAGGATGAAGTTGTGTTTTTTTAATTAGGGGAGGTTTAATACTAGCCTGCTTTATAAGTTTTCAGTGTGTATCCTAATGATAAAGATGAATTAATGATGTTAAGAAGAGGATCTATGACCTCTGGAAGCATCTCTTTCTCTAGTTTAGTCGGTATAGGGTCTAACATACATGCTGTTGATTGACATATTAGCAAGTTTAAGCTATTCTTCCTCTCCTATAGCAACAAATGAATGGAATTGATCCTCACGGGGTCTATAGCATGACATCTGATGCAATACTGTAGTGGACGGTTGCATGGTTATATTTTTCTCTCTAATAGTATAAATCTTCCAAGTAAAGAAATTCATAAAGTCTGTGCTGTTTGGAAACATCTGAAGTTGAAGCTTTATTTCTTGTTAATTTAGCCACTGTATTAAATAAATCTCTAGTGCTGTTTTTGTTCTCTTCTAAGATAGTGAATAATTAAGCAGATCTAGCAGTGTTTAAGGCCTTTCTGTATGCAATAGCACTTTCCTTCCACGGAATGCGAAATACCTCTAGTTTTGTTTTCTTCCAGCTGCTCGTCTGCTCATTTTTTCGGGCTGCTCTCTTGAGGGCCCGTGTGTGCTCATTATACCACAGTGTCTGACTATTTTCCTTAATATTCTTTGAGCCCAAGGGAGCAACCGTGTCTAAAGTGCTGGAAAAGAGAGTCAATAGTTGCTTTTGCAAAATCGAGTTCTTCTAAGCTATCTGGTATTCTGGGGAGATGAAACTGATCAGGAATATTATTAAAGGGGGGTTCAGGATTTTGGACATCGGGCCTCATTTCCAAGTTAGCCTTAGTGTTATTTATCAGTGGATAAAAATTTCATCCAGTCGTTCCAGTTGCATAGTTCGCCGGTGCTAGGCTAGCGCGAGTCAACGGTAACTGCTAGCCTGCCATTAAAAACAGTTTTACCCACTCCACAGTACACCAAAAGCAAATAAACTATAACGCCAGACTATCGATGTAAATGTCTGTTGAGAGAATAATGTTAGAAATCAAACTACCCTTTCATCGCATTGCAATAGTTATACTTTGTTCCCTGTATTTATTAGCACAGTCTACAGCAGCGGCGGAGTGATATGTAGTAACCTAGGCAACCGAGAGAGGTAGTGAGAGAGAGAGGTAGAGAGAGAGAGAGCTAGAGAGAGGTAGTGAGAGAGAGAGGTAGAGAGGTAGTGAGAGAGAGAGAGGTAGAGAGAGGTAGTGAGAGAGAGAGAGAGCTAGAGAGAGGTAGAGAGAGGTAGTGAGAGAGAGAGAGGTAGTGAGAGAGAGAGAGGTAGAGAGAGAGAGAGGTAGTGAGAGAGAGGTAGAGAGAGGTAGTGAGAGAGAGAGAGGTAGAGAAGAGGTAGTGAGAGAGGTAGTGAGAGAGAGAGAGGTAGAGAGAGGTAGTGAGAGAGAGGTAGAGAAGAGGTAGTGAGAGAGAGAGGTAGAGAAGAGGTAGAGAGAGAGAGGTAGCGAGAGAGAGGTAGAGAAGAGGTAGAGAGAGAGAGGTAGTGAGAGAGAGAGGTAGAGAGAGAGAGGTAGCGAGAGAAAGAGGTAGAGAGAGAGAGAGGTAGTGAGAGAGAGAGGTAGTGAGAGAGAGAGAGAGAGAGAGAGAGAGAGAGAGAGAGAGAGAGAGAGAGAGGTAGCGAGAGAGAGAGGTAGCGAGAGAGAGAGGTAGAGAAGAGGTAGAGAGAGAGAGAGGTAGTGAGAGAGAGAGGTAGTGAGAGAGAGAGGTAGTACAGGTAGTTCCGACTGTAGTGCGCTTCGGTTCTGTGTTTACTTTTCGGCGCAGCACTACTAACCGGAGCCAAGTAAAATCCCGCCGCTGCTGAGAAACTAGTTCCTGTAAATGTATTGCGATCATTGAGATGCAAGGGTAGTTTGATTTCTAACATTATTCTCTCAACAGACATTTAGATCGATAGTCTGGCGTTATAGTTTATTTGCTTTTGGTGAACTGTGGAGTGGGTAAAACTGTTTTTAATGGCAGGCTAGCAGTTACCGTTGACTCGCGCTAGCCTAGTACCGGCGAACTATGCAACTGGAACGACCGGATGACTTGGAAATGAGGCCCGATGTCCAAAATCCTGAACCCCCCCCTAAATAAAGCGATCTTTAGGGGTGGAAGTGATAGTTCTACTATATTTGTAACAGGGAGTTGGTTTTGCAGCCTTAGCTAAATGGAGTTATACACGAGACTAGATAATGATCTGAGATATAATACTGAAAATATTACTTTAAACACTTTACAGCAGCAGCTCCCTCTTTGGCTTTCATATGAGGCTCATGTTTATAACAGTAATCTTGGGGGAAGGATCTTAATTATATACTTCCACTTATGAGTTTATCCCTTTATGTCTCAGGAATAGTTCCAGTCGGGAACGCAGTGATCGCTTCGACCGGCGTGATGAGCGCATGGACCGGGGCGGCGACCGCTATGACCGGCGTGATGACCGCGGATCAGACCGGCTGGACCGGAATCGCCCCGCCGTTGGCAAGCGGAGTTTCAGCCGCGAGAAAGAGAGGAGTCGAGAACGAGAACAGCGCCCCGCTGAAATGGTGCGCCGCGTCTCCAGCATGACGGACGAGCGCGAGAGAGAGCGCGGCAGCCGCGAGAATGGTATGATGAACTGGACAACTTGTCATTTTCATTTGATTGTGTAGTTTGGTTTCTGTTTTAGCTTACATTGAGGTCATTTTATGGATTATTTAATAGTGTCTTTTTAGAAGAACTAGGTAAAAAATATTGAATATTGATTTTTAGGGGTGTAACGATACCCTCATGTCACGATTTGATACATATCACGATACTGAACTCGCGATACGATATTTTTGCGATACTCCAAGACATGATAAAAGGTCAACAAAAATTTGGTATTACATTGTGGTTGTAAATAAATAGGCTTGGAATGAATACAAATATTCATGATTATTCAACAGAATTATTTTATCCTTGCACTCTTTCACTGACTAGATATATTTAAAATAATATAGGCCACTTTTTACTGGTAACATAAAACATTCCCCCATTGCATTATTCAACATTATATGAAGAGTTTGGTTCCAAAACGCAATAAATCCATTTAGATTAATTTGAGTAAAAATGTGTTTTCTTTACCAAGAAAGTGGAAAGATGAAAACCACTATTTTCTGTTTCAAACTTTCACATAGCATTTGTAGGTCATAATAACAAAAAACAAAAAAAATCCAGGTTTTGATTTTCAAAGATTTATTATAAAAACGGATTATTTTTCCCCCCCAAAATGCAATAAATCCATTAAAAAAAAAAAAAATTAAAATACAATTAATCCATTGAATCAATATAAAAGTTTTTTTTTTTCATATTGAAACTGTTGAAAATACACAACAACGTAAGTTTATTAGTTTAATATTTTTTTAAGAACTGTAAAGAAGATTGAAAACATTTGTCCTCCTCCCGAGTGCCTCATCTTCTTAATCTCCTCACGTAAATGATTCGATTTCGATGCCTTACGTTTCTCACCCACCGCAGAAACAACCACAGGTTCATCAATGCCGTCAAAATTACTAATTTTTTTGTTTGTTTGTTGATCGAAAAGTACAAAATAGATAAGAAAAACTAGGAAGCCGGGTGTATTTAAGGCGCTGCCGTTACTGTTTACATTGCGTGGAATGGTGCGTTGTGATTGGTTGAGAGCGGATATATCGCAGAGAAGGGAGACTGGCGTTTTTCGCGGTTTGGAAAGAAAGGGAGAAAACATGACAGAATAACACGGCGGATATCGCATTTTACATTGACTTTTCAATACCAACCAGATACAATACTGATTTTTGCAGTAACTATTTTTTTTTTAAATGCCGTTTATCGCGTTTTGGAACCAAACTCTTCATATATAGTAGTTTAATGTCGTACTGACACTAAAACTCTGTAAGCTTGTTTTTCACACACAGTAGTTTTCACTTTGGGTGAACTATACACGATACATATTGTTGCATTTTTGTATTGCGATATATTGTGACACCCCTATTGATTTTTCCTACTAGTCATGATGAACCAAATAGATTTGAGAGCTTGTGAATCTTATCAAGATGTCAGTAGCAATATCCAGCCCTAAATTTGAATTATTATAATTACAATATTAATATTATTATTTGCTGGTAATACTTCAAAATAAGCTCCCATTTGTTAAAATCGGTTTATGGATTAACTAACAATGAGCAATACATTTGTTTTCAATCTTTTGTCATGCTAGTTAATAAAAATACACCCGTTTATTTTTAGTTCATGTTTATTAAGTAATATTAACAGATACAACTTTTGATTTAATGATGTATTAGTAAATATTGAAATTAAGTAAATAAAAAAATCATTGTTAGTTAATTAGCAATTGGAACCTTATTGCAAAATGTTAACTATTAATATATTACTATTAATATTGTAATATTATTATTATTATTACTAGTGATGCAATGAAATTTCTGCATATTCTATTAAATTATTTTAACGTGTCTTAATTATTTAAAATGTTTGAATAAATCTGTCATTTTATCACAGCCACCAGTTATAAATGTTTACATTTCAACATCAAATTGGAGTAGGACCATAATAATGATATTTAGAAGTTGATTGAAATATTAAAATGTTTATATATATATATCTTTTGGTTTTAGTCTAAATGCAAACTTTAATTTGCACAATTACAGTATTATTATTTTCTATTATTGCAATAATATTGACTTTGGAGTTACTTGTTCCTGTAAAGTTAAACAATTACTTTAAATGCAGATGCAACAAAACACAAACTGATATGGAAGCTCTTTTTTTTTTAATAGGATTTGTTGTATGTTTATTTTTTACAGTAAAGAGAGAAACTGTTCCCACTCCTCCACCGGTTTCCTCCAAACCGGCCCTGACAGAGGAGGAACTGGAGAAGAAATCGACCGCCATCATAGAGGAGTACCTGCACATCAATGACCTGACGGTACACACACTTACACACCTCGTGCCACCAGTGTGTGTTGCGTTGCCTTGGCTGTTAATAGCTCACGGTGTTGTTCTTCCTCCTGTCCTGAAGGAGGCGCTGCAGTGTGTCATTGAGCTGGACTGTGCGTCTCTGCTGTCTGTGTTCGTGCGGACAGGAATCGAGTCGACGCTGGAGCGCAGCGCCCTCGCTAGAGAGCACTTGGGCTTACTGTTTCACCAGCTGGTCAAAACACAAACACTATCTACACAACAATACTACAAAGGGTGAGACTATCTTTATAGCCAAGTGAATTTAAGCCAGAACACATTCAATCTTTTCTGTTAACTTAATAACTAATGATCTTTGCTATGGAAGTGAATCAATCAAAAACTAACTTTAGCTGGACAATAACTTTATTCTAGAGCTGCTGTAAAGCCTAAACAATGTGTTACTGTAATCTCCTGTTATTCAAATTCGAATTCAAATTTATTTATAAAGCACTGAATAAAACAACACAGTTATCACTGTAAAGCTGCTTTAATACAATCTATATTGTTAAAAGCGCTGTATAAATGAAGGTGACTTGACCTGATAATATAAAGGATTAATAATAGAATAGAATTTCTGCATATTCTATTAGAATTTACAGAAAATGTATTCGCATTTATAACAGAATATGCTGAAAAAAATAATATAATCCTAATTTCTTCTTTGTAAAGTACGGAAGCGTATTGCATTCACTTGAAGAAAAAAATCTACTGTTTTTCTGAATTAACTCTTTAATTATCTCAGAATTACGAGATGATTTTTCATGAAAATAAAGTTTTTGCTCTGTTTTTCTGAATTAACGAGTTAATTATCTCAGAATTATGAGATACATTTTTAAATGGAAAAAAGTTTTTGCTCTGTTTTTCTGAATTAACGAGTTAATTATCTCAGAATTACGAGATGATTTTTCATGAAAATAAAGTTTTTGCTCTGTTTTTCTGAATTAACGAGTTAATTATCTCAGAATTACGAGATCATTTTTAAATGGAAAAAAGTTTTTGCTCTGTTTTTCTGAATTAACGAGTTAATTATCTCAGAATTACGAGATGATTTTTCATGAAAATAAAGTTTTTGCTCTGTTTTTCTGAATTAACGAGTTAATTATCTCAGAATTATGAGATACATTTTTCTTGGAAAATTTTTTTTTTTGCTGTTTTTCTGAATTAATGACTTAATTATCTCAAAATTATGAGTAACTCATTAATTCATAAAAACAAAGTCATTAATTCAGAAAAAACAGAGCAAAAACTTTTTTCCATTTAAAAATGATCTCGTAATTCTGAGATAATTAACTCGTTAATTCAGAAAAACAGAGCAAAAACTTTTTTTCCATTTAAAAATGATCTTGTATTTCTGAGATAATTAACTCGTTAATTCAGAAAAACAGAGCAAAAACTTTTTTCCATTTAAAAATGATCTCGTAATTCTGAGATAATTAACTCGTTAATTCAGAAAAACAGAGCAAAAACTTTTTTTCCATTTAAAAATGATCTTGTATTTCTGAGATAATTAACTCGTTAATTCAGAAAAACAGAGCAAAAACTTTTTTCCATTTAAAAATGATCTCGTAATTCTGAGATAATTAACTCGTTAATTCAGAAAAACAGAGCAAAAACTTTTTTTCCCATAAAAAATTATCTCGTAATTCTGAGATAATTAACTCGTTAATTCAGAAAAACAGAACAAAAACTTTTTTTCCCATGGAAAATCATCTCGTAATTCTGAGATAATTAACTCGCTAATTCAGAAAAACAGTAGATTTTTTTTCCTCAAGTGAATGCAATACGCTTCCGTAGTAAAGCACTTTGAATTACCATTGTGTATGAAATGTGCTATATAAATAAACTTGCCTTGCCCAATAATCGTGTCAGGCTGTTGGAGGTGTTGGAGGTTGCGGAGGATATGGCGATTGATATTCCTCATATCTGGCTATATCTGGCTGAATTAATCTGCCCTATACTTCATGAGGGAGGAATACCCATGGGGCCGCTCTTCAGGTGAGCCTGCAAACCACTTTACACTGATGCCAAGAATATCCCTGCTGGTGAAGCCTACAAAAATCAAATAAATGAATCAAATTGACAATAAGATTTTAAAGGTGCAGTGTGTAATATTTAGGAGGATCTGTTGACAGAAATGCAATATCATACACATAACTGTGTTTTCAGTGGTGTATAACGAGCTTACTTAATGAAGCGTTATGTTTTAATCAGCTGAGAATGAGCATTTCTCTCTACACACACACACACCGTGGGTCTCCTTACATCCACATGTTTCTACGGTGGCCCTGAGCGGACACACGCGTTTCGTCACGGTGTTGTTCTTCGTGCAGAGAAGCTGTAGCTAAAGCCAGCCAATAAAACACTGACACAATGATGAACAATCACAATAATATTCAATAATCAAGTAAACCTTATTTCTTACTTTGTCTTTGTAAAGAAAGCTCATTGCTTAACTCTCTGCTGTCTCAGACGACGACATCACTTCCTGTCGGCCACCGTAACTTCTGTTGGGTGCGATTCACAACCTCACCGCTAGATGCCGCTATAATCACACACTGCAGCTTTAATCTTTTGGAGCTTGGAATGGCGAATGGTCCTGTTGACCTCTGACCCCTGTGCTGTATTTGTAGGGAGGTGTCGAAACCACTGGTGCCTCTTGGGAAAGCTGGAGATTTTCTGGTGGAAATACTCAACCTGCTCTGTAAAGGAATGGTAGGATGTTTGTGTAAATTGATTAGTTAACGTCCTAACGCTTTGGCTGCGAGATTCATTGAAGAAAAAACGAGTGATATTGCTTAGTAAAGGTTGCGATCGATTTAAATGAGAATCTCCTTTAAACAAAAGAGAAGCTTCCCTTTAGTTTTCCACCAAAATTAAAATAGCTTGATTGTTAAACGTTTAAAAATGAAATTAAGACAAATAAATATTTGTTTTGTCACTTTTACAGTTGTACTATAAAATACGATTATTTAAATACTTAAATACTTTATTTTATTTTAAAGTGGAATATTACATTTTCAATATTTAATATTTTTTTGACTAATTTTGTTTAAGAATAATCATAATAAAAATAATAAATATTGTTTTGAAACAATATTTATTTGAAAACTAATTAAAACCGACGTTAATATTAGTTTAGTAATTTTATAGTTGTAAAATATTTAGGGCTGTCAAATGATTAATCGTGATTAATCACATCCAAAATAAAAGTTTTTTTTACATAATATATGTGGGTGCACTGTGTATAATTACTTTATATATATAAATACACACACATGCTTGTATATATTTAAGAAATATTTCCATGTATATACTGTATATAGATTTATATATAATTTATATTATATATAAATATTTTATATATAAATATTTTTTTCTTAAATATACATGCATGTGTGTGTATTAATATATATACAAAATAATTATACACAGTGCACCCACATATATTATGTAAAAAAAACTTTTATTTTGGATATGATTAATCGTGATTAATCATTTGACAGCCCTGAAAATATTATTATTTTAAATACTCATTTTATTTTAAAGTTAAATATTACATTAGCAGTATTTCTTGTTTTGTTTACTATTTATGTTTAGTAATAATTATAATAAAATATATAATTTTTATATTTTATTCATAAATGTATTTTTATATTATTAGTAGTATGGTTATTTTATAGTCATACTAATATACAATCACACACATTTTGGCCCAAATTGGCCACATTTTTTAATTGCTTTTTAAATTTCAATCACAATTTTGTCTGAAAAATCACTTCTTTTTATTTTTATTTTATCATGCAGTCCTACCTGAAACTTGCACATCTTCTAAATTTCTTACTTATTCACTACAAAAACTTGACTTTGACTTAAATACCTGCTGTACACTATAAAGTGCATTATGGGTACAAAAGAGTGTCATAGTCAGGGAATACAATTCGAATTACATGGTTGACACTCAATGGATAGTGCGCTATATAGGGAATAGGAAGTGATTTCAGCAGCGCTTGTGTCCTGAAAGTGTCGTTCGGAACTGTTTCCTGTTTTAGAGTCATAAGAAAGTGGGAGCGATGTGGAGGGATGCGGGACTCGGCTGGAAAGACCTCCTGCCTGAAGACGAGGACGTCAATAAGTTTGTCACCGAAAAGGTGAATTAATTGACCGCAACTGTAGCGATCTGGAATTATAGTTACTCTTCTTAAACATAAACTATATGTTTATTAATCCCCTATATAATCTGTGTGTGTGTGTGTAGGGAGTGGAGTTCACTCTAGGTGAGGAGTGTGACCAGAAGAGTAGTAAATCATCTCTGAGTCCAGAAGACATCATCAGAGAACTGGAGCGACTCCTGCAGGAGAAAGCAGACAACCAGAGGATCTTTGACTGGCTGGAGGTGTGTGTGTGTGTGTGTGTAAGAGAATCCAGAACATCCTTTAGAACACAGACAGTGCTAGTGAATCTGCCTCTGTGAAAATAACATTCAGTCTTCCTAACGCTAAAAGGGCGACCGTTACACTTTATTTCAATAGTCCACTTTCTACTAACAATAAGTAACTTAGCAGCTACATGTCAACTAACTCTCATTAGAGTAGCAATAGACTGTTAGGTTATGGTTAGGTGTTGGGGTTCGGGTTAGAGTAAGTTGACTTGTAGTTGCCAAGTTACTTATAGTCAGTATAATCTCTGTGGGGAAGCATCAAAATAAAGCGATATTAGAAATCAGAAATTAAGCAGACAGTCTACTAATACTCTGACAGTTTATTGACATGTAGCTGCAAAGTTACTTATAGTTAGTAGAATGTCTAAAGTGGACTATCGAAATAAAGTTCTTCCGAGAAACGTTTGCGTTCTTCCGAAAAAACGTTTGCGTTCTTCCGAGAAACTTTTGCGTTTTTCCGAGAAACTTTTGCGCTCTTCCGAGAAACTTTTACGCTCTTCCGAGAAACTTTTGCACTCTTCCGAGAAACTTTTGCGCTCTTCCGAGAAACTTTGGCGCTCTTCCGAGAAACTTTTGCGTTCTTCCGAGAAACTTTTGCGCTCTTCCGAGAAACTTTTGCACTCTTCCGAGAAACTTTTGCGCTCTTCCGAGAAACTTTTGCGTTCTTCTGAGAAACTTTTGCGCTCTTTCAAGAAACTTTTGCGCTCTTCCGAGAAACTTTTGCGCTCTTTCAAAAAACTTTTGCGCTCTTCCGAGAAACTTTTGCGTTCTTCCGAGAAACTTTTCTGCTCTTCCGAGAAACTTTTGCGCTCTTTCAAGAAACTTTTCTGCTCTTCCGAGAAACTTTTGCGCTCTTCCGAGAAACTTTTGCTTTCTTACGAGAAACTTTTTGTGTTCTTCCGAGAAACTTTTGCGTTCTTCCGAGAAACTTTTCTGCTCTTCCAAGAAACTTTTCTGCTCTTCCGAGAAACTTTTCTGCTCTTCCGATAAACTTTTCTGCTCTTCCAAGAAACTTTTGCGCTCTTCCGAGAAACTTTTCTGCTCTTCCGAGAAACTTTTCTGCTCTTCCAAGAAACTTTTCTGCTCTTCCGAGAAACTTTTCTGCTCTTCCGAGAAACTTTTCTGCTCTTCCAAGAAACTTTTGCGCTCTTCCGAGAAACTTTTGCGCTCTTCCGAGAAACGTTTGCGCTCATCCGAGAAACTTTTACGCTCTTCCGAGAAACGTTTGCGCTCTTCCGAGAAACTTTTACGCTCTTCCGAGAAACGTTTGCGCTCTTCCGAGAAACTTTTGCGCTCTTCCGAGAAACTTTTACGCTCTTCCGAGAAACGTTTGCGCTCTTCCGAGAAACTTTTACGCTCTTCCGAGAAACTTTTGCATTCTTCCGAGAAACTTTTGCGCTCTTTCAAGAAACTTTTCTGCTCTTCCGAGAAACTTTTGCGCTCTTCAGAGAAATTTTTGCGCTCTTCCGAGAAACTTTTGCTTTCTTACGAGAAACTTTTTGTGTTCTTCCGAGAAACTTTTGCATTCTTCCGAGAAACTTTTCTGCTCTTCCGAGAAACTTTTCTGCTCTTCCGAGAAACTTTTGCGTTCTTCCGAGAAACTTTTCTGCTCTTCCAAGAAACTTTTCTGCTCTTCCGAGAAACTTTTCTACTCTTCCAAGAAACTTTTGCATTCTTCCGAGAAACTTTTCTGCTCTTCCAAGAAACTTTTGCGCTCTTCCGAGAAACTTTTACGCTCTTCCGAGAAACTTTTACGCTCTTCCGAGAAACTTTTGCATTCTTCCGAGAAACTTTTATGCTCTTCCAAGAAACGTTTGCGCTCTTCCGAGAAACTTTTACACTCTTCCGAGAAACGTTTGCGCTCTTCCGAGAAACTTTTACGCTCTTCCGAGAAACTTTTGCGCTCTTCCGAGAAACTTCTGCTCTTCCGAGAAACTTTTACGCTCTTCCGAGAAACTTTTACGCTCTTCCGAGAAACTTTTATGCTCTTCCAAGAAACGTTTGCGCTCTTCCGAGAAACTTTTACACTCTTCCGAGAAACGTTTGCGCTCTTCCGAGAAACTTTTACTCTCTTCCGAGAAACTTTTGCGCTCTTCCGAGAAACTTCTGCTCTTCCAAGAAACTTTTGCACTCTTCCGAGAAACTTTTACGCTCTTCCGAGAAACTTTTACGCTCTTCCGAGAAACTTTTATGCTCTTCCAAGAAACGTTTGCGCTCTTCCGAGAAACTTTTACGCTCTTCCGAGAAACGTTTGTGCTCTTCCGAGAAACTTTTACTCTCTTCCGAGAAACTTTTGTGCTCTTCCGGGAAACTTCTGCTCTTCCAAGAAACTTTTGCGCTCTTCCGAGAAACTTTTACGCTCTTCCGAGAAAAGTTTGCGCTCTTCCGAGAAACTTTTACGCTCTTCCGAGAAAAGTTTGCGCTCTTCCGAGAAACTTTTATGCTCTTCCGAGAAACGTTTGTGCTCTTCCGAGAAACTTTTACTCTCTTCCGAGAAACTTTTGCGCTCTTCCGAGAAACTTCTGCTCTTCCAAGAAACTTTTGCGCTCTTCCGAGAAACTTTTACGCTCTTCCAAGAAACGTTTGCGCTCTTCCGAGAAACTTTTGCGCTCTTCCGAGAAACTTTTGCGAGCAAACAATTTGCAAGCAAATACAAAAGCATTGAAATTTAATTTTTCCCATCTCCATGTACCTTTAGAAGCAGTATTTTACAGCTGCAAATATGATGGCACAACTCAGTTAGAGATGAATTATAGCTATTCTGTTCAGCTTTTGCAGCTGTGTTTGTCACTCGATGACCTTTGACCTGTCCCTCTGTGCAGGCCAATCTGGACGAGCAGCAAACAGCATCTAACATGTTCGTCCGAGCGATGATGACCGCAGTCTGCCAGTCTGCCATCATCTGTAAGTCACTTTTTTCCCTCTCCTTTCAAAATAACACTCAAAACATGTTTAATTCACATATTGTGAAGCTGAATATTCAATGGGAAATAATGTTGATTTTATACATCAGGATTTAATTATGTACAATAAGCCAAGTTTCCACTATCTCAGTCAACTCACCTTTATTTATAAAGCGCTTTGAATACAGATTGTTTTAAAGCAACTTTACTGAGATAACAGGAAAATAATGCAACAAAGTTTGTTTCTAGAAGAAAATGGTGTCACAGTCCAGCTTAAGTAAGTTCAGTGATAGTTCATTTTTGTTGTAAAAAAGATATTAATTTAGTTAATTTTTATATATATATATATATATATATATATATATAAAATGCAGGCAGATCAATAATATTATCTCCAAAATTTGCTTATGATTGTCGCTTTTCGCCAACTATTTTTCTTTATAGTAATATCACTGATGAATCATATCACTGATGAATCATGTGACGTTGGGTTTAATTTTGTTTTCATCCTGTCATTGTCAAGGTGAGAATCCATATAAAGTTAACGCTAAAGAAATTACCCAGAGGGCCAAGCTGCTGCAGCGCTACATTAAAGATGAGCAGAAAGAGCTGCAGGCGCTGTACGCCTTACAGGGTCTGATGGTACAAATGGAGCAGCCGCCAAGTAAGTGTGTCAAAAGTGTGTTCCTATGTCAGTTAGTGGTGGAACGGATCACAAAATCACGATTCGGGTCATTTACCGTTTTTGAGCCACGGATCGGATAATTTTTCGGATCAGCAAAAAAAAAAAAAAAATGTGTATATATATTGGGTTTGCTTTTCATTTATTACTTAAAGCTCACTTGAAGTTCTTTGATACTACATAAATTACTAGCCTAACTGATAAAGTTCACACATTATTAAAAACAAGTGAACAGTCAGTAATAAAATAAGAACAAATACACAAAGTACAAGCAGAGATGAAAACTAAGTTACAAAGTCAAACAGTATTCAGGTACAGAAAGTAATAATTAAGCCTAAATGTAAAATAACACTATTTTTTCACTAGTTTTATCTTTCTTAAAGCTTTATTGTGTTGTTTTATTAACATTAATGACACAGACAACAGCAGGAATATTAGGCTGCTGTCACTTTAACACCGAATGCACGGGCCGAAAAAACTGGCAAACATCCAGATTTTTCTCAACTTTTGACATAACACTAATGACATAACTGAGAGAATACTTGCCGAGACGTGTATTTAGACATAATTATGTGCGTATGTGTCCGTTCAAGAGCAAGAAAACACGAAAGAGGAATCAATTCGGTGTTCGAGCTCTCTCTCTCTATCTATCTCTCTCTCTCTCTCTATTTCATGTTTTCTGTGAATGTTGTAAATTATCTCCACTTTTTAATGTTTTGGATAGAATTTTGAGCAGTTTAGGAATATTTTTTTCAAAAACAGTGTTTATTTTTGGTTGTAAGTATTCTCGCGATAAGTGGGAAATCTGTACTTTTTCTAATTTTTTGGTTGGTCAAGCAAAATTAGCCATTTGGAAAGCTTATAGAATTGAAATGAAAGGACAAAAAGTTAATATGGTTAATCTATTCAAGGCCTTGGTTGAATCCAGGGTAAGATTAGAATATGAATTTAATAAAATGCGTTGTAATCTCCTAATGTTTGAGAAGAAATGGTGTGTAAACAAAAGTTTAATTTTTCTCTTTTTCTTTTAAGATCTCTTTTTTAAATGGTAATGTTTTGATAAAAACGTATGTTTTTTAGATGTAAAAAAAAAAAATTAATGATGGAATAAATTGCTTTAAAAAGTCAAAAGTCTCTCTCTCTATCTCTCTCTCTATATATATATATATATATATCTAAATTCAAATTCAAAAATTGCTTTATTGGCATGACTGTAAATAATACAATAGTGCCAAAGCTTGGAATGCATAGAATAATAATAAAAACATCAAAATAATAGAATAATAACATAACTTCAATTTAAATAAACAGTGTAACAAATTAGAACATTTGAGATACACACACTCACACTGTGGTGGACAGTAGGGAAACACACACACACACACACGTCTCTTCTCTCTCTCTCTCTCTCTCTCTCTCTCTCTCTCTCTCTCTCTCTCTCTCTCTATATATATATATATATATATATATATATATAATCTATCTATCTATCTCTCTCTCTCTCTACGTATGTGCGCGACATTAAAAACATTTTAAAATGTTTGCACGTTCCAGCCCTGATGCCATAAAGCAGTCATATATCCAGCGCTCTCCTGGTTTATCAGTAACACCGGCCTCTTTCTCTCTGCAGATCTGCTGCGGATGTTCTTCGACGTGTTGTATGACGAGGACGTCATAAAAGAGGAGGGATTTTACAGGTGGGAGTCGAGCAAAGATCCCGCCGAACAACAAGGAAAGGGCGTCGCCCTCAAATCCGTCACCGCCTTCTTTACCTGGCTGCGTGAAGCCGAGGACGAATCAGACAACAGCTAGGTCTTTGGCCACACCCACTACAGAGATGGATTGATGGAAAAAAACACAAAATAGATTTGAGGAAGAAAAAAAAAAAAAAAACATTTGGGAGATTTTCAACATTTTTTGTTTTGTTTTTTTGTCTTTTCGTTTGCGCAAGAAAAATGCCGTTGAACTGAAACGAAATAAAGCGATAAAGAAAAGTATTAGAGGATGACAAGCCTTATCTGCTCGCTGCAGTTTTAGCCGTTAGAATTGCTACTTTCCCGTTTCTCGCTCCTGCTGCCATGGAGACGGACGTTGATGACATCACTTCATTGAATCGTTTGTTTATGATGTCACTTCCTGGTGACAGAAAGCTGCTCAGAGTTCTATTTTCCGTTTTGAATCCCTTTATATTTGTGATCTAGTTTCGCGTGGACCGGCTGATCGTGTGCGTGTTGCCGTAACGGAGGAGGATTGGGTTTTTTCCCTCAATTTGGGATTTTGTTTAGTTCTAGTGGAGTGATTTGAGCTCTTTTTCTATGTTTTTTATGACAGAAAATCTAATTAAAAATGCAAATGGCATCACCTGTTTCAGAGCTGCGGTTTTCAGTTGTTTCTTTGCAGCTCTGGGCGATGAAACATTAAACTTTGACCTTCTTGCTGCTGCTGCTGTTGGCCATCGAGACGCTTCTGCCGGCCTGACCTGACGTACGGTTCCCTTACACACTTAATGGAGAAATCATTCAAACTTAAAAACAAAAAAAATGATAATAATAATTTGAGGAAGGCAGAGACTTGAGGGTGACGAGGAGCTCGTGTGGATGTGCTCTTCTTCGCACCTGTAGTGGACTTTACAAAATAAATCACTATTACGACTTGAAAATATATATAGAAATAAACTCTTTAAAGTGTTTAAGAGGAGAAAACTAAAAAAAAAAAAAAAGAGAGAGAGAATGAGTACGAAAACTACATGCCTTTCAGCTCCTTGGAGTGGAGATGCATTTCAGGAGCGCCTTGTAAATACATGTTTTCTTTTTGGTTTTGATGGTTTTTTGTTTGTTTTTCAATAATAAAAATGCTAACTTTAATGCCATGTATTAATTTTTGGCTTTTGTTTTCATGTATTTAATTTTTTTTCTTCTTTGCGGTTTAACCACCCGGCTTGTACAATTATCCTCCTCTAGTTATTGATTTATAGTTTAATGAAATTATGTAAATATTTCTTTTTCTTTTTTTGCTTTTTTTTTGCTTTAAGTATTTAATTGAGAGAAATTAATGCCTCTTTTCACATTTGAAACTGGAAAAGATAATAAAGAACATTGCAATGGAAAAAAAAAGGACAAAACGTGTTGATGTTCCTTTTCTTGAGGGTTATCTTGCTTAAAGTACGTTCGTTTGTCATGTGTTTGGAAAAACGTCTGCATTGATCATGGACTGAGATTATTTCACACAGACGAGTTTTGCTTTCATTCGTGTCATAACCCTTAATCCGTGTTCAAAAAGGATAACGTTTTTAGTTTTAAAGAGCGATTGCAAATAAGGAAATACAATTTTTATATGGAAAACTACATCATATTTTTTATTTACTTCTCAACTATACATTTATGCTGTGTTTTTGTGGAAATTTGGACGTTTTTTTTTACCTATTTACTGCATAATTACTTAACTAGGCCATAAATTGGCTCATGGAAAAAAATTTTTAAAGAAAGAATCACTTAAATCACTTAAATTGTTTTTGGACATTGCTCTATGTGTTAGGGATAGAATACTGACATCTGCAGGTTTGTGGAAAAACTTTAGAAATTATAATTAAAGAAAGAAAGTGCAATGAACACATATATCCAATAGAGGTCCATATAGGGACTCATTTCTTTTTCACTTCATTTTTCTTGATGCTTCAACTTCTCCACACAACTTTAGGATATATATTTTGTGAATATATATTTAAACATTCTGAAATACATAAATCTATTTTTGTCAAAGTTAGAATTTGTTGTCGTTGTCTGATAAATTTTGAATTATCTGCTTTTGCAAATTATTATACGTACATTTGCAGAAACATTACAAGTCACATTTTCCCTCTCTTTCTCTCTCTCTCTTTCTCTCTCTGTGTGTGTGTGTGTGTGTGTGTGAGAGAGAGTGAGGGAACATGCTCGTTCCATGTTGCATTTGTGAACTTTTTAAAGGGTCATGAAACCCCCCTCTATCAGCTCAAGTCTAGCTCATAATCTTTTTGAAAAATGCAACTTAAATGGGCGTGGATGGCTGTGAGAAGAAGGGAGGGAGTGGGTGTGGCACAGCAGGGGAGAGGGGGAACTGTCATCAGCCAGCAGTGTTGCCAGATGTACGATAATTATCGTATTTGTACAATAATTTTGACCTCTGTACAATGTACGATCAATAATGAACAGTAATCTCAGAGTTTTCAGTCGTTCGTCCAAACACACATCCTACCGCTTCTCTCTCTGACCCCGAATCATTTCACAGGCTCGCCTGCCTGCACGTACACACACACACACACACACAACACGGTGTCGCCCGGCCCGCGCGTCAACACTACACATTCACAACTCTCCCGCATTAAGCATACAATTGATATATTATCGAAATATCTAAAATGTTAATAACGACCGCTTATTTAACAAAATGCAAGTAAAATGAGCAGGGTTACATTTTAGACACACACTCTGAAGGGATAGAAAAGTCCTCAGGACTTGGTACCGCATTACTCGCAAGACGTAACTTGCATTGGTCATCGACAAGGCCGAAGTCCACCATTCTCCAATTCTCGAAGCTCTCTCGGGTAAAATGTTTGCGGCACTTGCGTCCCATGATGGTCTCTCTCCTTTACTACGTGATATCACAGTTTGACATGTCTGTGGAAAGATCCACGTGGTGTCATGAATAATTAAGAGACCGTGTCTTCTCATAGGATATAAAAACTCAGTCTCATTAATAATTATGAGAGACCGATGAGTCATCAACGCACTACACTGTGCACTGCCACGTCACAGCCTGCGATGAAGATTTTAAACCCGGAAGACGAAAATAGCTGGAAAAAAACTAAAATTTAACAATTTTCACCCTACTATGAAATCTAACAGATGCTAACATTGTCTTCAATGTTGTTCAACACACATACCTCTGTTAAAATCTCAGAAAATTTGGTTTAGGGTTTCATGACCCTTTAAGATTTATGCCAGTTTAGTGGATTTTAGATTTTTTTGCCAATTTCTATAAAAAAGCTCTCTGTTGCAGTGTGTGTTTGTGTGTGTGTATGAGATAGAAAGTTCATTCCACTTTGTTTTTATGCTCTAGGACCAGACCTTGATTTAAATGTTTTTTTTTTTAGATTTATGAGAGTTTTGTTTATTTTATTTGCCCATTTCTGCCAATATGGGCAAATAAAATAAACAAAACTCTCATAAATCTAAAAAAAAAACATTTAAATCAAGGTCTGGTCCTAGAGCATAAAAACAAAGTGGAATGAACTTTCTATCTCATACACACACACAGTTGCTGTCACATACGTGTGTGTGTGTGTGTGTGTGTGTGTGTGTGTGTGTGTGTGTGTGTGTGTGTGTGTGTGTGTGTGTGTGTGTGTGTGTGTGTGTGTTTTTGTGTGAGATGGAAAGTTCGTTCCGCTTTTTATTTATGCTCTAGGACCAGTCCTTGGTTTAAATTTTTTTTTTTTTTTAGATTTATGAGAGTTTTGTTTATTTTATTTGCCAACTTCTGCCAATGCTCTCTGTTGCTGTCACATACGTGTGTGTGTGTGTGTGTGTGTGTGTGTGTGTGTGTGAGATGGAAAGTTCGTTCCACTTTTTATTTATGCTCTAGGACCAGTCCTTGGTTTAAATGGGGTTTTTTTTTGGATTTATGAGAGTTTTGTTTATTTTATTTGCCAATTTCTGCCAATGCTCTCTGTTGCTGTCACATACGTGTGTGTGTGTGTGTGTGTGTGTTTTTGTTTTTGTGTGAGATGGAAAGTTCGTTCCACTTTTTATTTATGCTCTAGGACCAGTCCTTGGTTTATATGTAGAAATTTTCAGATTTATAATGGATTTACTGTTATTTTTTTGACAAACAAGATGAAAAAAAAGTAATTTTCAATGTGGGGTCATTTTGACCCCGAACACCTTAAACAGTATTAAAAAAAAAGTGTACACGCCTTTAGAACAACCAAATCAAGCCCGGTTTTTTTGTGCATGTTTAGATAGATTATTTAGGAAAAGTTTCATGCCCCTGAGATGAAGGTAACACTTTTAAAAAATGAAGGAAAAGTCCAGTGGGGTCCCCTGGTTCCCCAAACACTGATTAAGGGTTAATGCAAAGGATCATCCATAATCAGTTTCTGCTGGAGAAGAGGATCGAAACCGAGCCTGTAATAAAACCAGAATCAACATAAGCTTGGCTTTTCAGAGGTGGAGAACTGAGGGTGAGGATTATGATGTTTTTATGACTCAACAGGAGAGAAAGTGTTTTATTGAACAGAGGAACTGTCACATGCGTCTCTATCAGAGTTCACTGTAAAGCATGATCTACTGTGAAGAGTGTTTCATGATGGTTGTGCTGGAGTTTATTCTCTAGGAAGTAGCGCGTCTATTAACGGCTAACGCTAGCGTCTTCAGCTAGTCCGCTTGAGATCCTCTCCTCTAAACTGGTTAAATCTCTCAAGACTATAGTGAATGTTTTATACGCAGTACAATCATATTCATCTGCAAAATTACAAGCACAACCAAAACAATGTTCATCTGCAAAATGCAGTTTTGTTTGTTAACCGCTAGACGGGCAAAAGTTTCAGCGTACCTCTAAATGATTGCATAATACTGATCTTAATTTTTGTTTTAGTGATAAAGTATGTTTATGAGCTGTTTAATTCATAAAATATGCAAATGATCCCATAATGGAACCTTTTAAAGTTTCTAAAAGTGTGGTTTCTATCTTTGATCTTGTGAATATTTAGATTTGATGTTTTAAAAGGTTGTGTTTGAGGAAGTGTAGCACTATTTCTTGTTTTATAAAGTTTATACTTTGATCGTTACTTGTGTGTGTGTTATCTGCGTTATATAAGTGAACCTCTCATCTGTTGGTTTTTATCTCCATTTATGGCCGTTGTTTCATAAATGCTCATAAATATCTTCATATCAGTCACTAATAATCATCAAACCCTCAACGGTGAAGGGTCTTCTGGATTATTCACGCACTTCACATTTACAGTCACTCATGAGTGTGTGTATCAGTCTCCGTTCACAGGCTCATGATCTGATTGGTGGAGATGGTGTTTCGTCACAGGAGGGGTCAGAGGTCACGTGTCTGAACTCATTAATGCAGTGTCTGAAGGTTTCCTCTGATTGTCCAGCTGTGGTCTCGTCATGTTCGGTGTGTGTGTGTGTGTGTGTCCTCTGCTGGTTCTGGCGGCCGTGACCTCTGGATCAGGTACAGCGCTCGTCTCACGCTCTTCATTAGCGTTCATGTCTATTTTTATTTATTTATCTGTGGTTTGGACATGTTTTCTGTACAGACTGTGGGAGAGCCTTCATATGTTTTGAACACCAAATTATTTTATTCAGCAGGAAGTGATCAAAAGCTACAGTAATTTACAGTGTCCTTGTTACATGTACTTACCATAGTAATAACAGTAAATTATGCATAATTACATGCAACTAACCCTAACCCTATAGTAAGTACATGTTGTTAATATTACTCAGTACTAACATATAATTACAGTGTAACAATGACACCTTAAAATAAAGTGTACCCGAAAGATTTTTATTTCAAGTTAATGCTGTTCTTTTAAACTTTGTATTTATCAAATTTATTCATATTCATGATCATTTACTGGCACCAACGCACAATAATATTATGATGGGAGTTTTTCTAATAGTGTATGGTCATACTGTAGCTGCTTTATGTATCATAATATTCAGACAGAGAGCAGGAAAAGAGGCTAGTAGGTGTGTAATCATCTCCAGTTCGAGGGTGTGTGTGTGTGTGTGATGGGTAGGTTTGGGGTCGGGTGTGTGTGTGTGTGTGTGTGTGTGTGTGTGTGTGTGTGTGTGTGTGTGTGTGTGTGTGTGTGTGTGTGTGTGTGTGTGTGTGTGTGTGTGTGTGTGTGTGTGTGTGTGTGTGAATTAGACTGGTCCTGGTAAACTCTGGGGACAAAATGTCACAAAGAGGGCAATATCCAAACTCCTTGTCCTTGTGGGGATATATTTTGGTCTTCATGAGGAAACAGCTTATGAATCATACAAAGCGATGTTTTTGAAAATGTAAAAATTATTACGTTTTGTGTGATGGTTAGGTTTAGGGGTCGGGTGTGTGTGTGTGATGGTTAGGTTTAGGGGTCGGGTGTGTGTGTGTGAGATGGGTAGGTTCAGAGGTCGGGTTAGTGTGTGTGTGTGAGATGGGTAGGTTCAGAGGTCGGGTTAGTGTGTGTGTGTGTGTGTAATGGGTAGGTTTAGGGGTCGGGTTAGTGTGTGTGTGTGTAATGGGTAGGTTCAGGGGTCGGGTTAGTGTGTGTGTGTGTGAGATGGGTAGGTTTAGGGGTCGGGTTAGTGTGTGTGTGTGAGATGGGTAGGTTTAGAGGTCGGGTTAGTGTGTGTGTGTGAGATGGGTAGGTTCAGAGGTCGGGTTAGTGTGTGTGTGTGTGTGTAATGGGTAGGTTCAGGGGTCGGGTTAGTGTGTGTGTGTGTGTGAGATGGGTAGGTTTAGGGGTCGGGTTAGTGTGTGTGTGTGTGTGAGATGGGTAGGTTTAGAGGTCGGGTTAGTGTGTGTGTGTGTGTGAGATGGGTAGGTTCAGAGGTCGGGTTAGTGTGTGTGTGTGAGATGGGTAGGTTTAGGGGTCGGGTTAGTGTGTGTGTGTGAGATGGGTAGGTTTAGAGGTCGGGTTAGTGTGTGTGTGTGAGATGGGTAGGTTCAGAGGTCGGGTTAGTGTGTGTGTGTGAGATGGGTAGGTTCAGAGGTCGGGTTAGTGTGTGTGTGTGTGTAATGGGTAGGTTCAGGGGTTGGGTTAGTGTTTGTGTGTGTGTGATGGGTAGGTTTAGGGGTCGGGTTAGTGTGTGTGTGTGTGTGTGTGTGTGTGTGTGTGATGGGTAGGTTTAGGGGTCGGGTTAGTGTGTGTGTGTGATGGGTAGGTTTAGGGGTCGGGTTAGTGTGTGTGTGTGTGAGATGGGTAGGTTCAGGGGTCGGGTTAGTGTGTGTGTGTGTGTGTGTGTGTGTGATGGGTAGGTTTAGGGGTCAGGTTAGTGTGTGTGTGTGTGTGTGTGTGTGTGTGTGTGATGGGTAGGTTTAGGGGTCGGGTTAGTGTGTGTGTGTGTGATGGGTAGGTTTAGGGGTAGGATTAGTGTGTGTGTGTAATGGGTAGGTTTAGGGGTTGGGTTAGTGTGTGTGTGTGTGTGTGTGTGTGTGTAATGGGTAGGTTTAGGGGTCGGGTTAGTGTGTGTGTGTGATGTGTAGGTTTAGGGGTCGGGTTAGTGTGTGTGTGTGTGATGTGTAGGTTTAGGGGTCGGGTTAGTGTGTGTGTGTGTGATGTGTAGGTTTAGGGGTCGGGTTAGTGTGTGTGTGTGCCATTCTTTCTTTCATGCATGTGATTAAACAGATTCCATCGGTAGACCAGAAGGAGTTTTGTAGCCCGATGATGTCACTGGAAATCTTTTAAAGTAAACCTGAAATTGCATTTGCGACCCATTTTACCTCTTTAATATGCAAAACTATATTTGTTTCAGAGCCGTGCTATTTAATATACTATTATAGTTTTTATTAATATTTTGGATCCAGTTTTCTTTCTTATAGTTTCATTTTAATTAAAAAAAAAGTTTTTTTAAATAAATATATTTGAAAGAATTGGTTGATAAATGTGTGTGTTTGCTTGAATGCATTAATGCAATGTAAGTAATTTTGGATAAAAAAAAAAATGTGTGTTAAATGCATAAGCGTAACTAATATTTCTATATAACCTTAATTTCTTCATCTTATTTCAGTTAGTTGCCAAATCAACATTTCTACTTTTTGCTTGTTGTTTGTTTGTTGTGGTTGTGTTGTTTTTTTTATTTGACTTTACGTCCACAAAGAGTAAAAACAAAACAAAGGGTTCTATTAAGAATGTTGCTTTTAGGGTTCTTCAATGACATCACTGTGAGAACCCTTTTTGGTTCATTCGTGGCACCTTTTTAAAGCGTATATCAGGTGCTTTAACCAAACCAGAACACCGATCTGAAGAACCTCAAGAACTTCTTAATCTCCCAAAATCCGAAAAGCAACTAGAGGAGGAGAACAAGGTTCTTGGTGAAACCCGAGTGATGCAAGAGTGATGTACAAGAGAGAGTTTTATTTTGGCAGTTGTGTTTTTATGCTCATGTCTTGCGCAAAACTGTGTAACTAATGTGTTTTTCTCTCAGTTGAAGAGGAGAACCCAGAGTTCTGGAGGAGTTCAGCTCAGAACACACTGCGTTCGGCTCTGGCCAGGGAAATCAACACTAATGTGGCCAAAAACACTGTGCTGTTTCTGGGAGACGGTAAGCAGAGGCTTTATAAAACTCAAGACACATACAGGTGAATAGATCTCATCATACTTCACCAATTTATCAATCACAGTACATTGCGACAATTGTGTCGCTTTACAAGTTCTCTGAAATATTGTTTAACTATGCAAACGATGCTTTATTTAAATAATTATGCATTAATTTGCATACGTTTCCATACAAAGCCAAGTTCAATTTATTTTTTAATTTTGATATATTAAAGTTAAAAGTTTTTACAGAGGGGATTTTGGATATTTTTAGCATTCCATAAATTAGAAAAATAAAAGTTTTAATGCTCTAGGTTAATGATATTTTAGTATTATTTGTATATAATTGTTTTTATTAATATTTTTTTTAAAGGTAGAAAAAACGTTTTTCACAGTGTTTTAAAAAATAGAATTTTAAATATAAACCCTCTGTTAAAACATCAGAGAATAGATAGGGATTTTTTTTTATGTTTTATAATAGATTTTTATTTCAGTTTTAGTACATTTTTTATTTATTTCCAATTAGTAATTTTAGTGCTTCAACTTAAGCTGATTTCAGTTAGCAACATTTCTCGTTTTTGTTTAGACTAAGTTTTTCATCTAATGTTAATTTATTTTTCAGCTTTTTTTTTCTTTCAAATAACAAAACATGTTTTTATAGGTTTAGTTAACAATTATATTTAGTATTATTTATATACTATTATAATTTGTATTCATATTTCTCAACAGGCAAAAGAAGACAAAAAAGCATTTTCACCACGTTTTTAAGGAGTGAAATGTTAAATATATATCAGGCGAATGTAATATGAACAAACCCATCAGTAAAAACCTTTAGAATATGGCTAGGAATAAATCTGTAAATATTAGCGTATATAACTGATGCTGAAGTGGAGAAAAAACTTTTTAAAGATATGTATTGTAATTGAAATCAACAGACGCAAAAAGATAAAGTGCAATAAAATGAACACTTAAAAGTGTATTTCTAAATGGTATATAGAAGCAAAATAGACAAAAATCTCCACATTGACCAGTGCATGAAAAAATAATAGTTTTTATATTAAAGCTCAGCACGCTGTCCAGACCAATCAAAAACCTCCTGCCTGACTCGCACCAGCCAATCAGATCAGGCCATTTCAGATGTTGGTGTGCAACATGATAGTCTGTGATGGTGTGTGAGTGGCCTGTGGATCTGATGGAGTGTGTGTTTTAACCAGGAATGGGTGTGACCACCATCACAGCGGCCCGTATCTTAAAGGGCCAGTTACAGAAGCGCTCGGGAGAGGAGACCGTCATGAACATGGACACCTTCCCGTATGTGGGTCTTGCTAAGGTAACACTTTAAAAAAAAATTATTATTATTAATGCTTTAAACAACAAAACAATACAACATACATTTTAAAGCCATGAGGAGCAAAGAAAACACATAAAAATAAACATTCACAAAAATACAAGACCTTTGTATCAATCAAAGCTTTTGAAGACGGTACACAAATGAAGACTCTTAATAGCTTTTCCATTAGTACTAGATTAAATAGTTGAAAAGTAATTTTCAAATTCTTAAAGGACTACTAAGAAAAGGGGCTTTTTGTTAGAAAACTGTGAAATTTGACTACTAAAATGAACAAATTAATCCTTATTCGCACTGTTAGCATACTTTAAATATCCAAAAATCACATTTTCAAAAAGTAAAACAAAATTAATTGCTAAGGTAATACTGTCTTCAAACAGGTTTCCCTAAGTCTGTCATTGGCCAGTTAGGGACAGATTGTCCCGCCCCCAATCTCACTCCATTGGTTGAGTCAGAAGTTGACATGTTGGACCGCTTAAACGGGTCCGTGTTTCACTCTTCAGGACGTCAAAATGTTGTTTCAGTATTATTTATATACTATTATAGTTTGTATTCATATTTTAATTAGCTTTTATTTGTATATGTTTTTATAGAATTTTATGTGCTTTTCCCAAAATATTACTATTTAGTTTTAATTTAT